TGCTTGCAGGCTAGATGGTGGGAATGCTGGACACTTCTTTACTGGTCCCCTCGTTTTGCCTGGGGGCTCCTGACAGGGTCAAGGACCTCCCTTCTAATCTGCTCCCCTGCCAGTTCTGAAATGTCTCCCTCCATTTCTCAAGGTGGATCAGTTCTCATGCTCTGTCCGAGAATCTTCACTTGGTAACCTTGAAGCTGCACAGACATCTGCCCCGCCTCTTCCTCTCCACCACTTCCTCAGAATTGCAGGAATCTGACGGAGCAGACTGGAATGTGTAAGAGCTGGGCACCCTCTCTACACTGGGTTCCTACTGAGTTTAGCCACAGGCAGTCCCTGAGTTATGAGTGTCTGAGTTATGAACAACTCATACTTACAAGGGTACTGCCATAAAACATATTAATGTAAAAACATTACTGTGGAAAGTCCTCTTCTCCATAGAGAAAGAAGAAACGAGAAGGGAGAGAGGGAAGGCCTCCGAAGAATCACCATAGAGAGAGAAGAAATGTGAGGGGAGAGGGGGAAGACTGCCAAAGAATCACCATAGAGAGAGAAGAAATGTGAGGGGAGAGAGGGAAGACTGCCAAAGAATCACCAGAGAGAGGGAGAGGAAGCAAAAGGGGAGAGAGGGAGGCCTCCAAAGCAGGCCTTCCTGCCCCACCCATCCAGAGCGTGAAATTTCTCCAGCCTTTCCTTGCAGCAAAGAGGAGGCACTGGTGAGTTGTGAGGGGTGGGGGGGGGGGTAGAGGTATTTGCAGTTTTTCCATTTTCACAGGGAGTCCTGTGCCCCTAACCTCAGCAAATGTGGAAGGCTAACTGTATGTGATCCCACTTGCATACAAATCTGACTTAAAGGTGAATTTCCCTTTTCTCAGGAATGGAACTCATTTGCAACCTGGGGACTGCCTGTACTATTCTTACTAGTTTAACTGAGATTCCTGTAAGAACAGAAGTTACCTTAGGTCTGTTGATACCATTAGGCCATCTTGTTCAAGACTGCCTATGCTGACAGGCAGTGGCCCTCCAGTACTTCAGACAGGGCCATTTCCCAGCCACCCCTGGAAATGCCTGGGGCTGAACTGGGGACCTTCTGCATGCAAAGCATGTGCTCTACCATTGACCAGGATTTGTGAATTTGTGAATCCCAGTTAGGATGTGAACCATATTCTGCAGCATGCCAGCATGACATATTGACTGCAGGCTCAACATGAGTCAGCAGTGTGATGCAGTGGTCAAGAGGGCGAATGCCACCCTTGGTTGCATAGCCAGAAGTGTGGCTTCTAGATCAAGAGAGGTATTACTACCACTCTACACGACTCTGGTGTGCCCGCAACTGGAGTATTGTGTTCAGTTTTGGGCCCCTCATTACAGAAAGGATATAGCCAGGTTGGAGTCAGTGCAGCATAGGGCCACAAGGTTGGTGGCCGGTTTGCAGGGGATGCCATATGAGGCGAGACTGAGGGAACTGGGTCTCTTCAGCCTGGAGAAGAGGAGACTCAGAGGGGATATGTTGGCGACATACCGGTATGTGAGGGGATGTCACATGGAGATGGGTAGAGACCTGTTCTCCCCTGCAGAGGAAGGCAGGACACGCTCCAATGGAGCAAAGCTCAGGGAGCCAAGGTTCCATTTGGATGCCAGGAAGCACTTCCTGACAGTCAGGACCCTGAGGGTGTGGAATGGGTTTCCATGAGAGGTCGTTGAGGCCCCATCGGTGCAGGTGTTCAAGGATAGGCTGGACATCCACATGGTGGGCATGTTGTGAGCGGAGCCGGCTGGTGCCGGAGGTCAAACTAGATGGCCCGGGAGGCCCTTCTGACTCGCTCTGTTTCTATGTTTCTATTGCACTGCAAGATGGTAGCAATGTTTTCCAAATCTTGGTTCATATTAACCATGGTTCAAAACTGGTATGAATGAAAAACCACAGTTTATAGCACGCTGGTCTACAACTCCCATCAGATGTCATTACCTGACTGTCTAGTAAGGAAGTGCTAGAAATAATGAGAAATTGGGTGAGGAGCAATACCAGATGGTGCTGATGGTGGGGGGAAGACAGGAAGGAGTACATTGAGGGTGTCATGCCCAAGCTTCGTCAGGAACCTGAAACCAGAAGTCCTTCAAATCATGGTAGCATAAGAGCAACCTTGCTCTAGGAAACTACTGTTGCTTTAGCATCTGAAAAGTTACTTAGGAAATGGCTGTGAGACACTTGTTTATGACATCTTCCCTTCTTCTAGAGCCGACTTTTCCAAGTAGTTACACTTCAGATGTGCCGCTCTGCAACTCTCACCATCCCCATCTAGTTTGGCCAAGGCAGGCAGTTGGGAAAGGGTGTTCTAGATTATGTTTCATCAATCTATAGCACTCAAGTGTACACGAAATCCACTGAGTAGGTCAGGGAAATTTTATAGACTGCAGCTGTGCCTCACCCTCATTCTGTCTGTAATTGTGTCAGTTTTTAATGTTCTAGAAGAATGGGAAGCCAAAAGTATGTCTGCCCACATTGTTTTTGTGAAGCATAGGAGCTGAAGCATGAGAATTACTGTTTCAGTGTACTCAGCTTTGTCTCTGCCAGATTGCACAGAAGCGATTCCCAAGCAGAGGTGATCTCCCAGCACAAAGCTCCTCTCATCACTATCCCACCATTCCCCTGGGCTTGTAGCAACAGGGGTCCTGTCTACAGAAGGAAATGGAAGGTGTTTGGAGGCATTGCCATCAATGAATGGCTTGTGGCTGAAGCACTTAGACTGTAAATCTCTGATTGGGTGGGTTAGAAAACCCTGAGATGTCATTGAACATCACTCGAAAAGCAGGCCCAGTAGCCATGGGGACTCTCCTTGGCCCAAATATGTACTGAGCAAGCTAAACTGCTGTCTGGAGAGATGTGTGCAAAACTTGGTATGAACATATTTCATGTAATGGCAAATATTCTTCATAGTGATGCCAGGAGAAATAAATTTGACTTATTAAAATGTCTAGACCTATTTTTGTGCTTGTTTTGGTAATGGTTGCTTTTGGTACCCAAGCAGAATGATGGCTGAACTACAAGTAAGGCTTTTTGTCTTATTTGTATGATAGATTCAATGCATATTTTAATAAATCAGGAAGGTAACCTTGCCCTCTGTATGAAGACTTGTTTTGTACATGGCTTTGGAATTTCTCATTGTTAGCAATTTATAAATATTGTTTTCAAATATGAATAACTGATAAAACATAATGAACATGAATATTGTTGTTCAGATATGAATAAATAATATAACATAATGAAAAACAGAAATGGCTATGACAGAAATAAAGCAGCTATTTAAAATACTTTAAGGAGGGAAAGTCTTCACTTAGCCTCACCAGTCTTCTGTGTATTCTGATGCTTTCTTGAAAGACCATCCTGCAGCTGGGGCATCACGACTGAGAAGACATTGCCTGTGACTTTGGGAAGGGGCACCCTGCCATCTCTGCTGATGTTCCATAGCATGCTAGTGCTGAGGATGGGGCTAGTGGGTGTGCTACCCCCTCTCTGCGATGCACCCTAATTATCTAGCTTTAGCACATGTAAGGGAGCAGGGAATATCTGGTCCCAGATGGCCCAGGTCCCTCCCTGGCGCTTAGGCCTTCTTACCTCCCTGCATTTGAGAACAATGGAAAACAGTACAGTTTTGTTTCAAGGCAAACTGAACAACTGGCTGTGCCAGATTCCCTTCCCTTCGAGAACATGATGAGAAATGGAAAGGATGACTTCATACAGAGGGAGGCACTTGTTGGAAATACTTTGTTAGCTCCAGAACTGCTGTGACTGCGTAATCTACATCTGCATTTGCTAAATGTCATCGGTGTGTGGATAGTGCTGTTCTATAGTTTCATCACTAGGTGGCATCAGCATTAGTTGTCTGCAGGTGGAGTTTCTCTTGCTGTTATGTTTGTTGCTGTGAGAGGATAGTTAGTGTCTAGTATCCTGGCAGGTGCTTTCATTAAACCTTCCATGATTGGTTGGAAGGTACATCTACAACTGAATTTTGTAACTGCATTTATGTCGATGGTGGGTACTTCCAGGCAAAGCTTATATTGGTCATTCGCCCTGCTGCATTCATGGATTTTTATTTATTTATTTATTTGGTGGCAGGTCCGAACAGTGATATCTTCCATTTGTAACCCTCCAGTATTTTCCCACTGCTTATATTCCATCCTTTTATGTTCCACCAAAAAGCAATTAAGGAAGAAAAGGTAGTGCAAGGCCTTTTGACTGGTTGCACCAGTAGGATCCCTGCATCTGGAAATGCTCTGAGTTTTTCTATAAACCTTCAAGTTTGTCTTCCATTTCTTGTACCTATGTGAAAATAGTTAAACTATGCAGAAGCTCTTAGTTGTACACAAACCTAGAAATTATGTGATTTGGAAAACAATAGTGGATCTTGACCTTTCTTTACTTCTGGTTTCTGAGCCATTCACATCTGCCAATGCATTTTCTCTGCAACATGAGTAATGGCCAGATTGGATAAGTGAAATATTTTATTGCATTTCACATAAGTGTGTCTTTGATTTTGGTTTTAAAAAATCAGGACCACTTCAGTAAGTTTGCACCTTTTTGCCGTGATCCCAATGAAAATGAATATTCCTGAAGGTGCTAATGCCCAGAGAAAATAGATTTTGGGGGCCATGAATTCAACTTCAGTAAGCTGCTATTCTGTGTAATGCAAGGTGATCTGAAGGTAGGGTTTCCTTATAGTAATGCTGCTAAGGATGAATAAACTATGACAGATAAAGGTCTCTGAGCATTTAGACAGCACTCAACTCCAACACTGTTAGTAGCATTCAATAGTACATGTTGTTCAATAAGTACATATTGGAATGCAAGGGGGTTTTTTAGACCTTTTCAGCATTGCAGATTAATGTGCTATTGGGACTGAGTGCCTATGGGTGATCCCTTGGGAAAGTGTCACACTGGGAATGGAGTGGTCTGCCCACCCATATTTCATCTTCAATTCTTTCCTGATATGTTTCTCTCCTAGATTTCCTACCCTCCAAGTGATGAGGAAGATAGTGATGATTCTGAAGGAGAGAACCAAGAACTTGCTCAGATTGACAGAGGTAAACTGTCTCAATAAGGGGCTGTAGGAATTTCTGTTCCACATCTAATCCAACCACCCACCTCTAGGGGCATATGGCAAACTTGACTGTATCCGGCTATGTAATCCCATAGTATATTCATTTGGCTTTACCCGGATATCCAAAACATCTTACGCTGGTACATGGTGTGTGTTTCTCTTTTACTGATGTATTTTTAATTTATTTGATTGTTTGTTATAACTATTCTTGTGTATCTATTTTGCATGTTGGTTTTATCACAATTTGCAATGGAAAGGCATTGAAATATGAATTTGATGGATAGATAACTTGCTTCTCATATTAGATGCATATTAGAGTATCCATTACTTACATCTCTTGAATGTTTCTTTTTAACCCATATTTAAATACCTGTGAAAGTTTAATATGAAAGCATCTATGAGGCCCATGAAATTCCACACTTTTTCTAACTTTTGCCAAACATATGTTGACTGGTAGTTTATCCACTTGTATTTAGGTTCCTATTTTATTTCTCTTTCTTGTTTTCCCTCTCCTTTATCTATATAATCTTGGGATGCAGTGTCCAAGAATGCATTTGTGTTGCTCTAGTGTAATGTGAGAAGTAAGCCACTGGACAATATGTAACCCTCTATGTACATCGATGAAGAGGCAGCATGCTTTAGTATGTTGGTGTGGGAGCACAGCATTTAAACTGATGATTTAAATTCAGAAGGGACCCCAAATGTCCTGAAAGGGCATAGGTCATGAATGTTTTACATCTGGGGCTCGCCCTCCCTGATGTGCTCTGGCTCTGCCCATATTCCATGTACAACGGTACCTGTGGGTAATATCTGTGGGGACTCCCTATACAGTTTAGAAGGTTTCTAAATTGTGTGTGGAGTTTGCATGGAGGAGTGCAGGCTCCCTTGGTCAGATTTGCCCACAACACATGGAATGCGGCATTTCACAGTATGAGGATGAATACCTGCACAGGGCTTTAGCCTCTTCCCTTTCAGTCTTCCTGTTCTGCCTTCCTGCCTCCCACTCATTGGTGCCCAGTTCTTCCCACCACAGCAAAGCCTTGGTTTGAAGGTGCAACAAACATGATTATGCAAGTTGGTTGTTGAGTCCTAGCAAACAGGCAGACCCTCTCCCTCTTCTTTATCAGTCTGTGGTGTCTACAAGCACAGACCTTCTTGCTGATCACCTCAGGATGGGAAGGTTTCAGCTCCTGGCCACCAGTCAGTCTTAGGGGAGGCTCTAGTCGAGCTCCTTTCAGCTACCTGGTGAAGTGGTCATTTCACTGGAACAAGGGAGAGAGGTTGCATCTACCACTTTCCTGTTATATAGATGCCAGGGGAAGATGTTACCCATGACTTATTTTTTAAAAAATATCCTTCTCAGAGAGAAGACGCAATTGCACCTTGACCCCACTGGCAACCAATCAGCTGCAGAATCAAGAAAACCAGTGTGGCAAAGTACGGACCCATTTTCCTCCTGGGCTGGACCGCCACAGCTCAGAAGAGGAGCTAGAGCGCATCAGCCGTGAATTTGCTGCTGAGAAACGGAAGTGGTCGCAGGTCAACCGGCTTGCCTGCTGTGGCGACAGTTACAACACGTCCTCCAGTGACGAGGAGGTGAAGAACTTGTGTGGCATGTCCTTCCGGCCAGTGGTTGAAGGGGTGGATGGCTTGCATGCCAGCTCCAGTCCAGTGCTCTTCAGTGCCTCCCCTCCCAAGAGACTCCAGCCCTTGGTACGCACCCCAACATCCCGGCCTCTAATCTTCACAAGTGTTGGAGCCAGCTTTGAGCAAGTGATGCCGTGTAAGCGACACCGGCAGGGCTATGGAGATAAGGTTGGTAGGCCCAGCCTTGACCTGGAGAAAATGCAGCAGGTAAGGCAGTGCTCCATTTGTGAGAGCTACAGTTTGCCAGCTTCATCAGAGGTCTGGCATTTTTTTCAACTCTTATTACTGGGCATGGCTGGAAACTGACTTGATCTCCTGGGGTCATGTGGTCCCAGTTGACCAATAGCTTTTAGCCACCAGTAGGCTAGTAAATAGCTTTTTGTATTGCTGGTTTTTCTCCAATCCTAAATTAGGTTTGTCCCAAACTTTGAGATTTTTTTAAAGTTCTCATGAAAAGTTGTAATGATTTTTGTGCACATTTCTACAGTACACTTGTTTTATATACACTTTGCTTAATTATACACAATTTGCAATTTTCTGAATACAATGCATTTTAATATTGTTTGCCCTAACATACTCATTTATAAAAATGCTTTGATTAAAGAATTTCATAAGAAAATTCAAAGGCATGTGTATTTTATAGGTTAGCTGAATTTTGATTCACATAGGAGCATGAAGGTGTAAAATTAGATAATCTTTTATTAAAATGTGAACTAAGCACATTTCTCTTCTGGACTTGATATAATTCTAATCTTGGTGAACAAGGTCTAACCTCCCACTTCCTTACTGTGCTCTTGATTCATTACAGAAATACTGACCTCCTCCTGTAGGGCAGAGGCAGTAGCTGCGACAGAGCACATGTTTTGCATGTAGACAATTCCAGATTCTATCACTAAGATCACCAGTTAAAAGGATTGGCTAGCAAGTAATGAGGAAGACCCCCACCTTCACCCAAGCCCCCTAGAGGGCTGTTGCCAATCAGAATAGAGAACATTTGGCTAGGTCTGATATAAGGCAGCTTCCGATGTTCTTCTGCCACTGGTTAAAATTTCTGATTCTCTCCTTTCTGCTGAGAGCACATCATGTTCTATACCTGTTGGGTTTAATCAGCTGAGGCCACTGGTGTCCCATTGCCTTGCTCACTGGTCCCGATGGTGGTGCATTGTTCTGCTGTAATGAGTTGGAAGGAGCAGCTGCCCCATCTGCTTGTCATGCTAGGCTGCTTGCGTCTTTACCAAAGGGGTGTTTGGTTCAGTATGCATGTTTCTTCGCGTTTGGCTCTCTTCCCAACTTCTTTCTTTCCCTGCCCCTCTCCCTTTTAAAAATTGGTCTGAAATGGCTTGGCTTGTTCATAAAGGCACCGATTACGTCGACAGTGTTATTGTACAATCTCTCTTGTGCCCCTTGATCACTGTCCTTGGGCGATGTCCTAATTACACCAAGGACCTGCTGCCAGCCATATGCATTTTAATGAGGGCTTTGTGTTAGTGTCCCAGAAAGACCAGGGTCACGGCTGGCCTCTGACAGTAGGGATGGCCTCTTCTTTTCAGGGGAGCCAATGGTGAAGATTTGTAGGGCACGAGGCAGATGGTGTGTGTACGCAGGTGGTGGGCGAACAGTTTCAGTTGCTTGAGGTGACAGCAGTCCAAAAAGGTCAGAAGAGGACCAAGGTCCTGTCCCTCTCATAGTTGTGCAGAACTTTGGATTTCAGTGGCTGCACCTCATCCCGAAAGGGGGAAAGAAGTATAACTCCCATTAACAGACTTTTGGCTACACAGTTCTTAAAAGCTCCGTGGAAAAGCATGGTCTTCACTGGCATCTAGTCACTGCCCTACCAGCAAAATGTTAACTGTGCAGAAGGGGTAACATTCCAGAAATTCAGCAGCAGTCCTTGTTGAACACTTGAGCTGGTTCTTATGAAATTAAGCTGGGACCAGTCTGAAGCATAAACGGATGGACAAGAATGAAAAGCACTACACTTAAGGGTCTGTAATGCACAGCTATAGAAGAGCTAAAATAACCAGTGTTGGCTGCTGCCAACCAAAAGCCATCATGTTTTTTATTTCTGCAGTAGGAAGACTTCCTTTTGAACCTTTATTTGCATAATGAGCAAAATGATCATGAGTACTGAGGCAGTGAATTGACTGACAAAGAGTTTGGCAGTTTGATTACAATCGATCAGTCTGTTTAATAGTGTCCTTAGGTGGTGAGTGTGGATAGAAAGGGAGAGAGAATTGGGCTGCTTAGTAAAGTGCTAGTATATTTGAGGAAACCACAAAATTTGCTGAATTTGATAATGATAATTTAAAAAATTAAGGGTGCATCCACCCCCCAGTGCTCCAGTGAAACATATGCAATATTTGTGGAATACTGTTAGCACAAAAGGGACATTGGAAAGGGGATAAGAATGGAATAGAGCAAACAGTAAGCAGAGAAGGGTGTGACTGGCAGTATTCTTGAACAGGAATTCCTTAGAAGGTGAAGCTCCATTGCATCTTGTTTACTATGTTAAACATATTGGGCTACTTGGATTTTTAAGTTTTGTATTGTTTTGTAGGAAGTTATATAGCTCTTTCTTCTCCTCCTCCTCAAAGTTAAATTGGCTATAAGCTTGACTTACCCATCTGTCTTCACTGGAAGAAAACATGTCTTCCATCCATATTTCAACTTCTAAGCACAGTTGGAAACATCTTGAGTTGTAGCACCTCTCATCCCTCCCTCTCTTCTCCTTTTTCTATAAAGTGATGGTCTTTTGTCCTGAAATGACAAATGACTTGGAAAAATGAATTGAGAACTTCACCTGGCCTTGTTGAATGGTTGGGGATTTTCTCACTACTTGTAGACCAGCCTTCCCCAACCTAGTGTTCTCCCAAAGTGTTGGGATCACAAGTCCCATGATTCCCAATGAACGCAGGAAGCTGCCATACCAGATCAGCCTAGTTGTCTGCCTAGCCCAGGATAGGCTTCTGCAGTTCCCTAGCAGAGAAGGGGACCTGTTACCTGAATCTGGAATTTTACTACAATCACAGCACAGACTTTACTGCTGAGCTGCAGACCCTTGTGCCCTGTAACTTTAATGGAAAAACCTGATCTCTCTTCCTCTAACCTCCGTGATTAACTCTGGCCTCACCTACACATGCAACAGAGCAAGAGGGTCCAGGGACTTTCCATTTTCAGACCGCAGGTGATAGATTACACTGCTTGTTCCCCGTAGCCACCAAATGCCAACATTTTTGCATAAAACTCACTGCTCGTAACAGCCTTGGGAGAGGCAAATTAGCCATTGAGGATGGGGGTAGGGCTGCACAAATCATTGAACTATTTGTGGTTGGGGAAAATAGGGCACGGCCAGGAGAAGTGGTATGGTCCTCTTTGGAACCCAGGTGGGTCAGAGTTGGACTCTGGCCTATCTGGATTGGGACCGTGGAGCATAGGTTGTGCACTGCTGCCCGGAGAAATAGCACTAGTACCTGGCAGTAAGCTATACGTCTGAGACTGAAGCATCAGTTGTCATTTTCAATTGCAATGGGCTGACTTACTGGACATTTTCCCAGCTTGCGGCCACCCTTTTGACTCAGAGTTCTGCAGCCTGGTGAGAAGCTGTTAGAGTTGGGCTGTTGCTCTGGCTCTTGTCCAAAAGGAAAGGTCAAGCTGACAGCCCGTTTTGTGCATACTTTGGCACCTGTGTGGTGCCAAGGTACCATTCTGAGAGCTTCTAGGGTGTGCATGCTTTCCAGTCTCCTTGGTAATTCAGTTAGATGGCCGTGCACAGCACTTCTAGTTTAGCCCATGTCAACAATACATTCCTTGTCCAGAGTGCGTGCTTGTTGCTCTCTACCACTGCTTGGGTTAGACAACATGTGTGTATCTGGGGGCTCGGGACAACGTTATTCTGTTTGTTAAAGTGACAGGGCATGCTATTTGACATCAGATTATCTCAGTGAGCTGCTTTGCACAATCGCCACAGCCCATGATGCCTTGTTTAAGCCACAGTGAGTTATGGTGCCCATAGGTCCCATGTTCCTGATTCAGTTCCCTCTCTGTGGCTTCTTATGTTGTTGAAACCCAGCAAAGGAGGCAAGAAGCAAGACAAACCTCTTTTTGCCAACAGAAGAGGGTTTCCTCATAAATATAGGTCTGGAAGTTATTTTGGAATGTTTTTGAACATTCTGAGCATTGCCTCTAGTGATTTTGAAAGCTCCATGGAGATGAAGCATTAGCTGGAACAAGGCAGGGGGAACACATTAGGTCAGTGTGGCTCACTTGGATAGACTAGTTGTTGGGAGAGGAAGTGGGGCCCCTCCAAGAAGCCTTTGCCAAGGTGGGATTCAGTAATGAGAAATCATTCTCCCAGTTTGCTTGATGTGAGAGTGAGAGTGGATAATAAGCCATAGTAGCTTGTTGACTATCCTGCTCATGCCAGTTGCGTGCTAGGATAATTTATTTCACCAGGGGCTATGGGGACTCTCTGACAACTCCAGTGAGCTGAAATTAGCTTGCAATTGTGCCTGTCAGGGAGTAGAGTCTCATTTCTCCTTGCGGTGACCCCTGAGATACGACCTGGCGGAATGAAGGGGAAAGAGTGGGAGGGAGGGATGCATCTACAGAGGCTGGTTGACTGTCAGGCTCTTCATGAGTACTTTACCGAATAGCCAGCCCATCAAGGCTTATTGCCATGGTGGGTTGCTGTGTCATGGTCTTCTGCCATCAGAAGCCTTTCGAATTCAAAGTGTCATTATTTCTGGAAGAGGGTCATGGCTATGCTTTGGGACCACTAGTCCTGGAGACAACTGTGGAGAAAATCATAATTATGGAAAACTTTTATCAGCTGATCATGTTTTACATTGGAGAAAAGGTTCAAACTTGCAATGCTGAAGCATTTTTTACACCCCTCAGGAATCTGGGGGATGTAAATATTGAATGAACGGACTCTTTTTACTTAAATGTAGATGCTTTGGCAGGAGTGCCTGCATGCAAATGCATGTGTGTTTCTGGATTTCCTCAGGTATTTGGCAGGGGTATTAATGCTGAGTGAATTTGGTGAGAGAGTACTGAACTTGGTGCAGAAGAGTTTGCCAAATTTCCAGTGATATTTTCTACTAACACAGTTTTTCATGAACCTGAAGTTGCTTTGGGGAACTCAGACACTTGTAGGAGAAAAATAACGTTCTGTTATCTAGCCATTGGCAAGATGCCCATTCACTTCT